AGAAAGAGAGGGAGATAGGGCTACGATAAGGTAGCGAGAACGAAGGAAAATTTGTGACCTTGAAATTTGTTTGTTCAAAGATGATTTGATGTCATCGGGACCAAACTCTTCAAATTACTTAGAGACCTGCAACAATAAATAAAATCAAATTAGGAGCAACTAAACACAGACCAAGAACTCCCCATCCAGGTGTTCGAGAGAGAAAAAGGAAGAAGATGTGTGTGAACTTTCGATTCCGTCCCTGATTTTGCACAATCAATGTTTTGAAAAATTAAGAAGATATATTGGGATTAAGTTTCATCAGCAGAGAAAATTTAAGCGTCAATAAAGGAATTAATAGGTTAAATCAATGAACAAATAAGATTGTGTGATTTGATTTTCAAAATGCAAAAGCAAAATTGGGTATCTTTATGTTGATGATAGTTAGTCAATCAATTTGTTGCAAATTTAACGGGATTCGTTATGAATATCTTTATGCAGATTATAAGGTTGACTAATTTGAAGCCAGAAAAGGGTAGTTTAGTAATTGCAATTGAAAGGAAATGAGCGGGAAAATAAGTTTTGGAGGTGCTGAGCAAATGCCACGTGGCGTAAATGGTAGTCTTTTATTAGAGGAGGGGATATATATATATATATATATATCTTCATGAGAAGCGAGTTTTCTTGGAAAGCGAAACTCTAGACTTCATGTTTTCGTCCTTAACAGGTTTTTGGGGAGTGAAAGAAGTTGGAGTTTGAAGGTCGAAAATTACGATTCGACTATGAGTGTGCGAAAATTGTGTTTGAAAGCTTGAGGAAGCAAATCAGATTTTCGTTGGGAATATAGGATTTCATATGCGAAAGTTTGAGGCTATATGTGAATGGTCGAAAGTTTGGAATTCACATTGTGGTTCCAGGGACAAAGGCTGATAACGAAAACAAATTTTCGTATGCAAGTGATATTTTCGTATGGGAAGTGAGATTTTCGCATTTGGTTGAACCTTTGCCTCCAATAACGAATCTTTCGCTGTTGATAGCGAAACTTTCCCAAAGAACATTCTCTTCGTCTCATTTTTGTTTCTTCTCTTTTATTTTGGTTGATTCCCAAGAATATCGAAAAACTATTTTCGTCTTTGTTCTTTTTTCTTTGTTCTTTGAAGCCTCAGAAAACCCCAAAAAACTCAAAAAGATTTTTGTTTTGTTCGTTTTTTTGTTTGAAGGCTAAAAAAACTCGAAAAACCAAAAACATTGTGTTTTAGTTTGTTTTTGGAGGTTTTGGATGTCGAACTTTGCTCAAAGTTTTTGATACCTCTTGTCACTTGAGAAAGTTGTTTCAAGTTCTCACCTGCAAAATTTTCTTGGAAAGTTTGAGTGTCGAAACTTAAAAGACCCGACTGACGAAAAGTTGAAGCTTTGAAGACTTGAATGTAGAAATGTCGAATCTTTCGATCTGAGAAAATTTTTCGCTAACGAAAGATGGCTTTCGACACTTGCGAAAATATGAAGTCTTGGGTGTCGAAACTTTGAAGGTTTGATAATAAATGCTCATTTTTCGACATTGATAACAAAACTTTAAAGACTTGATAACAAAAGTACTGTTCATTTTTTCGACACTAATAACAAAACTTCGCATCTGACTCATTCAGGAGTTACTGTTCACACTCAACGCTCACATGCCTTCGCTTTCAACATCTCTTCTGAACCACTCAAAGTTTCGACATCCTCAACTCTGAGAAAAAGTTCAAGATTTTTCTTCAAGGGGGAGTGTTGTACGTTCAAGGGGAGTATTGTATGTTCCACGGGGAGTGTTCTTTGTTCAACGGGGAGTTCGAAGTTTCAGATCTATGTGCTTTGTTGGTGACATTTTTCAGATTTGTTCCTCTCTCTTAAACATTCTCGGCTACTGATGATTCTCACACTTTTAAAGGGAATGCCACAGGAGAAAAGCGTGTACCTCATCAGATCCAACATTTAGGGGAGAATGTTGAGTCAAGAAATATTGTATATGCTGATGTGACATTTCTGGGTGTGAAGACATCAATATTCTCTATATCGAAGGGAAGGTCCTTTGATATATCTATGTATTTTAGTGTGCATTTTCAAGTTGTACTATAAATAGTGTTGCAGTCTTAAGTGTTAGGGAGAGAGAGAGAGAGAGAGAGTTTTTACACTTCCTATTTTTGTACACTTAGATTACCTTCCAAACATCAATGGAGCTTAAACAGAATTATTTACGTTAGGTGTTCTTACAATTACCGTTTGATTTATGCTGATTGTTCTTAATTCCACAATGTCGTTTTCCATGGGATCCTGCAATACTTAATTTCAAAGGATGCATAAATAGATTATATATTATTTCCTATTAAATCAACCTAAAAGTGTAATAAGATCATACCAAAATATTTTAAAATCATACCAAAATTAACCGGATTCTTATGACATAATAATTATAAAAAAAAATCATAATCATCTCTAATATATAAAAGTAACATTTTCGTAATTAGTCTCAATTCCAAAGATAAGTAATTTCTGTTTTGTTGAAATTAATTAAAATTATAATATAATATACATCTAAAAAATTATACCAAAAATATTCAAGATCATACTAAACTTAATAAGGATTCTATAATATTTTCATTAAAACATCATATCTCTCAAATTATAATTAAATAATATCGATAAAATAAAAGTTAAATCATTTATAAATTCGTACATTGTTATGATATTTTCAAATTCAATTTCTCGAGCAGAAATATATTTTTAAAACATCATATGCAAACCTGTTGAAAAATAAGGGTTTGAATAATTAAACATTTCATAAAACCCAAAATGTATTTCAATGATCAAAATTCTAACCAAAAAACGAATAGTATGAAATAAAGTCTATCAAAAACGAAACCGAAAAACCAAATACTATGTAAACATAATATGAAATCAATAGTACTCAAATCACCCAACTACTCAAACAAAATAATGAAAATCATATTATTTTTCTTGCTTTGGAATTAACAGTTTTGGATTGCCTTCTCCAGAAATACGATCTGCCAATAAAACGTTAAACGAATCGAATTATGGCGCCTACATTTGTAATACATAGAAATATGTTAGTTGATCAACTAAAATATAAAAATCGAAATTTAATAAGTGTAGTATTCGTCGTAGAAGAATGTTACCTGATTGATGTTAATTTTTTTTTCCAATTCAACAATAACTGTATTATCACTAGTGAACTTTGAGATTGCATAACGATCAACTTTGTTCTTCAAATTATCATGTGAAATTTGAATTTTGAACGCCAACTTTTTATCAAAAAGTACATTCAAAGCAGATGGATAAATCTTCATATTACCCTCCTAAAAAAATGAACAGATATAAAAATAGATAGATAAAAAGTAAAAATTAGTCTTATGTAAATGAAGTTAATATCGATAACCTTATTAAACTTTTGAAGCAACTCTTGTGTGGTTTTTTCCAGAAGTTTCTTTGCGTCACAATCAAATAACGTAAGTGACACCACACTGGTAAAGTCGTGTACACTAATGGTGATTTTGAAACTAAGCCATTGATATAAACAAATTCAGTAATATAAAATTAGAAAATTTAACCGAAGATTATAATAAAGTTTGTGATAATGATACGATTAATTCAAACAGTACAAAAAAGATTATTCATAATCAAGGGGAAATAATTTCATGGACTTACTTGAGCTATTAAACTTTTGTTGACAGGAACATGAATGTTGGTATCCCAACTGCAATGAGTCGATCGGATGATGGAATTGAAAAAACAGACTTGGAAAGGGAATATATAAAAAGGGATAAATTGCAAAAAGATGATATTCAGGAAACGATTTGTTGACGATTATATACAGATGTAATCTTTATCAAGTTACCAAAAAATAGGTAATTATTGGCCTGGTTTTAGGAGATAAAGATGGAAATTCTATAAATGTAAATTTATCAACCGATTTGGTAAGAGATTTTAATTTATCTATTTAATATATGGATTTGTATACATATTTTTAGGAAAAGTAACAACTGATAGGTAGGATATGATTTAATTTTTAATTATGGAATATATATCTCGTTTGAATTAACGTTTACTTCTTTCATTAAATTAAATTCCTCATTAAACGGAAGTCAAATGTTATGATTATTAAGCTGCTGATTTTATGGAATTTGATATAATCTCTATTATGAAAATTGAACAAGTATTAAAGGTAACACCGTAAGTTATCTTTAGACATGGTAACGATTGATGGAAAAAAAGTTTTTACCAAAACTTTGGTAGTTAACGTCACAAAGTAATCTAAATGTGGAAAATCTATAATCGAGATAACTAAACCAAAAGAATCTCACATTTTACACCCACTATATTAAGTATTAACTATATTATTAACACTTGAAAAATGAAATTATTATAAAAAATATTGTAACATAATATATAATAATCTTACTAAAAAAATGTTAATAAAAAATATTGTAACATAATATATAATAATTTCATTTTTATGTTAATAAAAAATATTGTAACATAAAAAATATTGAAAAATGAAATTATTATAAAAAATATTGTAACATAATATATAATAATCTTACTAAAAAAAATGTTAATAAGTTTTATCTATATACCATATTGTCAACGAGCCATCGATCCAGTAATTATTATTGTTTTCATTTTTATATTCTCATATTTAGGTGTCAAATCCGTATGATATGATTTTAATTATAACTAGGGAAGAATCCCCACTTTACGGGGTTGGATACTTGGATACGCCATAGAAGTGGTTAGACAACCGATTTAATCAGATTTGTTTTAACGTCTTGTTCCTTTGTACAGAATAAGTTTGAGAATTTGATTGGAAACTCAAATCCTTTGTACAGAAAAATCCAAATCTTGTACATAATCCTTATGTAAACTCAAATCCTAAATGGATAGATAAGATAAATCATCAAGCCATAACCATGTCTTATATACATAAATATTCATTGTTTCTTCACTAAAATCATCAATGGCTAGAATTAAATCAGCAGGGGCAATGGAAGCCCTACTTGCGGGGCTACTGGAGAAGCTGAAATAACCATAACTCCAAAAACAGCTCCATCATTTCCAGTTGGGTATCCAACTGACAAACCTATTCCTCTAAGAGCACCTTGTGTTCCGGACTGCCTTAATAAAACATATTTGTTTAGGAAGAAAAACAGATAAAAAGTAAAATCTCATTGAAATATAGTCAGCTTCATTTTCAGTTTTTTATATCCTTAGACTTTTGACCGTTTCAGGCTACAACTGATTTTTTAAATACATATGCAATATGAACCAAGTTGGAGGGGGCAGATATGAAATCCACACACCTTCTGATCAGAATCAAAACCTAAAAAAAAGGCCAATTCCTAATTTGACCCTATAGGCACGTAGACAATAAAGAAAGAGGAAGATGCACGTGTAATCCACTATCTAGTTAGATAAAAATAGATAATTATCAAAAAAACAAAACAGAAAAAAAAAATTAGTAGAAAAAGTGACTACAAAACAAAATTGATGTTCTTGATCATTTTTTAGATTTGGGTTCCTTAAACAATTACCATTTGGTTCTAATTAGCATCACAATGCAATTTTTTAGGTTTTCTTAATGGAGAAAAAAAAAAGCAGAGTTTTGAATACCTAGGAACCTTGAAGGCATTTAACTTTATCAAAATTCAAAACAAACTCTCAAAGAGCTTCATAACTCACATTCCTAAACGATGTTAATGCATCCTCATGTATGCTACACAAAGTTTGTTCACCACCATCAAATTCTCCGGCTGCAGGCGGCAGAAAGTGGTCTGACCCTGGCCTTCCTTGTGGAAACGTTCACTGGTTTTGTATCAGGATGCTCATATAGTTTGGTTTCATAAGGCCAAACAACTGACTTCTGCTGAACTGCAGCAAATAGTTATAGTCCAATAAATTATCAAATTCAGAATCTTGAAATATATATATATATAACATAAATCATGAAAACAGGCATCAACTAAAGTATACAATACATTAACTGCAACATGAGCCTAAAAAAAAAGCAAGATCAAGATAGTGATTATATTACCTATTGGTGCTCCAAATGCGTCGGGTTTTTATTTCATTTTATGTATGAAGTGGTTAAAAGTGACACCTGTGTAAATATTTTTGGTTCCTTTCATATATTTTTTTTATTTATTTAAGGTGTCAAACACAAATTTATATAGACCTTATCAATGTAATTTATCATTAAAATTGCTAAGGTTTTCCCTTTACCTGGGAGGATATTGGTTGGCTTACATTCTCAGTGGAACAATCTTCTGATACAGGTAGTGTCGACACAAAAAAAAACTGAATGTGCTCAAGGGGAAAACTTCATTTCACAATCAACACCCTTGATTGCATCAATTTTTGGACTGATAACAGATTTTTTCATGTGAGTCTTTAATTAACTTGCAAGATGTGAAATTTGTTTTTGAAGTAGTAGATTTCCGACCAAGGTAATCTTTCCGGTTCCCTTTTAAGGACTTCCCTAAACTGAACACAATGTAACAATTATAAACATTAGACACTAAGCAACAAAAAAATATATAATTTTAGTAAACTTTTGTAATCATATTTAATAATTTATAAAAATGTAAGTGAGATTATGCAAAATAACCTGTTCTGCACCTGTCCATATGTTTCAACATCATGAAGATCATATCCTCTTTGCTTAATATATTCTGCAAAATCCTGAGATGGTTTTCCAGATTTTCTACAATAACCACTTATCAGAAGTTTGCCACCTGGCTTCAACCACTTGTAGAATGTCCCAAACAATGCAGATTTATCCTATAAAATAAATAAATAAATAATTTTTATTTAACTTAATGGGAGTAAAAAAGAAAAAGAAAAAGAAAAAAGAAAAAAGGGATTACTTGAATATGAAGAATAGTGTCGCGACTATAGATGACATCAAAGGAATTATCAGGATACGATTTCTTAGTGCAATCAGCAACCTCAAATTCAACTGAACATTTAAGCCCAATTGATCTTTCAAGAGCAAAGGAAATCATACATACAGAAAGAACCTATTTCGTTTATCCTGTGATTAAAACGACCAAATCTAACCATTAATGAATCAAATCATACAGACAGATGGATAAAAGAAGAATGTAACCCATCAGAAAACACCCTTGAAAATCATGTTCTTAGGTCGGACCTGCAACACACAGTGAAGGATCAATCCTAAAATCGAAAAGAACCAAACATCAAATTTGAAAGTATTTGGGCTCAAACCTACCTATATCTGATACGGGTTCTTCAGTTTTTGGTTGAGAATCAATTCAATAATCTCTTACACAAATCAATGACGCGAAAAGCCGAATTAGGGAATCAACAATCAGCGAAAGAAGAGACGATTGGGAAACGTTTTGGAATAGTGTGAGTTGCGAGGTTTATAACAGCGATAACAGAAGAAGTCGATGACCTTCAAAACTTTGAGCATAAGGGTATTCATATATGTTGGTTATTATTAATATCCAAAACATAAAAGTTGAAGTTTAGATCTTAATCTCGAATCTGTCAAAAGAAAACTTTAAACCTTAAAGAACGATTACATATCTGATTTTATGATGTGAAGAACTAGCATTGAGTTTTTCGAGTTGATCTCAAGAGCTCTCTCTAAAATCCCTTAGCAAACCCTAATGAATTTATATGTGTATTTTCGTGTCTTGATTTGCTCCTCATCACATGTATTTATAGATGGATATAAACCCTAATGTGAGAGATGAAAGGGATCTTGAGGATCTTGAGTCAAACCGGGAACTCAACCCACAAGGTAAGTAAATATTCTATAAATCGGTCCCTCAACAATTTATATTCTTACCATAATAATTAGATTTAATGATAACATTACATATATATGAAGTGGTCCCATAATTATCTAACAATCTCCCACTGGACCACGAATATATAAATATAAATATATAACCGTATAAGCGCTTTAATGAATGTTATCATAATATTGGTACCCTTAAACAATCTCGTCCACTAATCATAATAGTATAGGATCAAAATGGTCTTCGTTACAATTTATGTAACTAAACCTATCAATGGTCACATCTTCTCTTCTAATAAAAGACTCCTAAAATTGCCACTTGTCATTTTTTTAAAAGTCATCTATGCCACGTGTCCTTTTTTTGTTAACCTGCTCATTTGTTTTCCCGCTCAAGTAATCAATCTAATCGTAAGAAATCAGGATTTTTTTCAAATATCTTCCGAATTTCTCTCATAATTTAGGGTTTTTTTTTTCTTTTATTGTGTGTCGCCTGCGACAATAGAATGAATGAAATTAGGGCAGTTTTGATCAACATTGGCTACACAAATTAGCGCACGGCGTTCTCTCTCGATTTCTAGCAAATGAGTTCTATTTCTATCCCTTTAATTTGTTCTCACTCTCGGTGTCTCCACCATGATATCACTCACTTCCCCTATCTTTACCCTAATAATCACTTTCTTTAATGTTTTTTCCCATTCGGGTCCTGCTAACTCATCTCCCCTTGTCTGTACACTTGATTCATCAAACCAATACCAAGTGAAACGAATTTTG